GAAAGAGGGCTGGCCCCAAGCCTATCCTGGAGGACTTTTTAGGTCCCAGATACCCTCCACCCCCCCCCCCCATCAGCCCAGGCACTGCGGCTCTGCAGCAGGAGGGAACCCTCCAGACCTTCGGTACTCCCAGCTTACTGGCGAGGCTTGCAAACTCGGCTCCCGCCGGGGAAGCAGCACCTTTTGGGGCAGGGGCTCTGAGCAATTGCATGCATGGAGACCTGCAAGCAGGCAGGCAGGCAGGCAGATGCTGGGCAGCACAAACTGAGTGGCGGCAGGACGGAGGCGGGGCCTTGGCTTGTTGCTTATCAAGACCGTGCTCAGTTCGTGCTGCCCAGCGTCTCTTGTTTGGTCACTGTTCAGGCCCCTTTTTCGCTGTTGGAAGCACACCACATTAGCTGGCACCAGAGGGGGTGGCCCCACGGCAACACTGACAGTCTGGGCCATGCGCCACTGGTGTCTCCGGTCCTGAGCCATGAGCCACGGGAAATATCCGGGCCCGACTTGTCCACTGCAAGGTTGCCCTGCCCACAACAGCACCGCCAAACCACTTCTATGCTGCTGGCGTCCCCAGGCTGGAGCAGTGAAAGCCAGTTCAGCTGGTTGTCGGGGTGTGGAACTGGGCCGCGGACGTTAGGCCTTGCTCACTGGCAATGCTGGAGCCTCCCATGCCGACCAGTAGGTCTTCCATATTGCTCCACTTGGACCGCTGGCTTCTGGATGCAGGGCAGCCTCCCTCCAGAGCTGTCTTCTCCCCCTCCCGTCTATGTTGAGCCCACAGGGCTTGACAGGCAGACGGCGTCCCACAAACCAAAGAAGTTCAACCAATCAATTCAAACTTTGCAAGTTTTTTTTCATGAAAAGTTTGAATTGATTGGTTCAGTTTTTTTAGTCCCACGTTTTTTGGGAGGGACTGCACATGTCTGGGAGCCACAGGAGGTGGCTGAAAGAGCCACATGAGGCTCCAGAGCTGCGGGTTGCCGACCTGTTGTATAGACCTACACCCTTACATATATGTAACATAGAAATATTAATCACTATCCATCTTGAATACATAGTGGAAGGAGGAAGCTTTAAAGTTTACAAGGTTAATATAAAATTGTGACTGAATCTGGATTTTCTGCTTCAGATACTACATAACCTCCTCCCAGAAGGTAACAATGAAAACATGTCTTGAAGAGGATGTGTAGTGTCCCAGATAATCTTGCGGACCCTGCTCAAGCAATGTTTATATGCTATGTTGTGAATGGAAGGGAGGGAACTGCCAATAACTTTTTCAGCCATCCTCACCACTCTTTGTATCGCCTTCTTGTTTGAAGCAATGATGCTTCCAAACCAGACTGTGATGCTGTATGACAGGATGCTCTCAAACCTCCCTCTGTAGAAAGTTGTAAGGACAGGGGAAGGAAGATGTGCTTTTCTCATATGATACAGAAAATGCAGGCCCTGCTGTGCCCGCTTCACCAGTGCCTCACTGTTGAGCAACCAAGCCAGCCTACTTGTTAACTGCATGCCCAGAAATTTGATGCTAGTAACCACCTCCACAGGTGAGTCATTAATGCACAGAGGAGTGTGGCTGTGTCTGCCTTTTTTGAAATGATCTCTTTGGTTTTTCTAATGTTTAAAACTAGGCTGTTTTCCTTACATCAGTTCACCAAACCTTCAACCTCCTTGCGGTAAGCACCCTCATTGTCACCTTGAATAACATACTGTTGTATTATCCACAAACCTCACAATATGGCTGGTGGCAAACCTAATACAATAGTCATGGGTCAACACAATGAACAGCAGCAGACTTAGGAAACAACCCTGAGGAGAACCTGTGCTCAAGAAAATGATGTTAGAAATATTTGTTCCAGCTTGCATATACTGGGGCCTGTTAATAAGAAAATCAAGAATCCAGTTGCACAAAGAAGTGTTTAAGCCTAAAAGGCCCAGTTTATCTATTAAATGCTGGGAAATGATTGTGTTAAATGCTGAACTGAAGTCGACAAACAACAAAGGCACATGAGTATTTCTTTCCTTTAAATGCTCCAAACTAAGTTGGAAAGCAGATAATAACAAGACCTGGCAATAGTTAAGAGCAGGGAAGTTTAAGAAGGAGACTGAGGGACTAATTTTGGCTACACAAGACCAAGTCTCAAGGACAAATGCGTACAAAGCCAGAAATAAGAAGACAGGAACAGAAAGTAAGTGCCGTCTATGCAAAGAAGCTGAAGAAATAGTGGATCACCTGGTAAGCTATTCAAGAAGATCACCCAGACTGACTACAAGCAGTGGCATGACAAAATAGCAACAATGGTGCATTGCAAGATCTGCAAGAAATATCATTTGCAAGAACTGGATAAAGAAAGTCATAGGAAATGAAGAAGTTAAATTGCTCTGGAACTTTAGAATTCTAACAGACAGTCACCCGCCGCATAATACCCCAGACTTAACAATTGTTGATAAGAAAGACAAAAAAGTCTGGATAGTGGATGTGGCAGTGCCTGGAGACAGCAGAATAGAAGAGAAAGAATTGGAGAAGATAACAAAATATAAAGACATAGAAATAGAATGACTGTGGCAAAGACAAGCAATAGTACCAATAGTAACAGGCACCTTGGGTGCAATCCCAAAACAACTGGAGCACCACTTGAACACTGTTGGCATTGACAAATTCATCATCAGTCAATTGTAAAAGGCATCTTTACTGGGAACAGCTTCCATCCTGCGACAATATCTCTAACACCATCAAACATCCAAATCTGTCTATCCCAAGTCCTTGGTAAGGACTCAATAAGTAGACAAAAATGCCAAACCCAGTCTGAATATCTGGCTGACTATGCGATGATTAGTAGTAGTAGTAGTAGTAGTAGTAGTAGTAGTAGTAGTAGTAGTAGTAGTAATAACAACACCAATAATAATAATAATAATAATAATAATAATAATAATAATAATAATAATAATAAAATAATAATAAAAAATAATAATAATATAAGCACTCGATAGGTAGACAGAAATGTCAAATCCAGTCTGAACTTCTGGCTGACTGTGCGATGATCAATAATAATAATGATTTGACAAAGTTTTTGAAAATGAACATGTCAAGATCCTGTGGGATTTTCTGATCCAAACAGACAGACATCTAGCCCACAACATACTTGACATCACTATTGTGGAAAAGAAAAAATCTAGTTCATTGATATTGCAATACCAAATATTGTACAAATTGAAAAGAAACAGACCTAGAAAAAAATAACAAAATATTGTGATTTGTAAATTGAAGTTGAGCAATTGTGGAGGAAGAAATCAATGGTTGTACCAATAAAATAGTAATAGGAGCCCTTGGAGCAATACCCAAAGGCTGCATAGATACATGGAAATTTTGAACTTATAAGACCTGAATATCCTGACTTTGGAAAAAACCACTTTATTCAGAGCTGCCCATATATTCAGATGGTACCTTAATAGCTCTTGGGTCCTTGGTTAGGACTTGAACTGTTAAATTTTTACCAGTCCCAGATTGTAAATTGAATTGAAGATTAAATCTTAAATAATAATAATAGCAAACAATTCCTCCCAGATATGTTTCTCTATCTATTGACTGAGAGATTGAATAATATCTGGACAGGAATAAAGCTAATTCAAAAGCAATAAAGGAAGGGATAATAAGTTTTCAAAAATCAGGATCATGTTAAAGTAAAATATAAATGTATTTATAACCACTGTTAAAAATATTGGAAGTATTATTTTTCCCCCTTTTCTATTTTTTTTTTCATTTCTTGTTCACTTCTCATTACTTTTCTCATTTGTCTTATCTTTAACTTAAAATTTTGTACTGTTCTAATTCTGTGTAAAAAAACTGCTTTAGTAAAAATTCTACATCTATCTATCTATCTATCTATCTATCTATCTATCTATCTATCTATCTATGTATCTATCTACCAGTATCAAGTTAAAATTGGCATTGTTCAAGAACCAGCCCTCTCTCCACTGTGTACATTTTACAAGCCATCATCTTCTATCTTTTTTTAACTTCTATTATCTACCCCACCCTAATGTGTTTTGACAATCGCCCTTGTACCACCATGCATGTATTGATTTTGCTTTCATTTTCACATCTTAAGCTTTTTCTAGTAGCATGGATCATTTGGTGGATTGCAAACAGACACTATAAACTGCCTAGAGCAGTGGTTCTCAACCTTTTTAATGCCATGACCCCAACCAGTCGTAAGTCGAGGACTACTCAACCGGTCGTAAGTCGAGGACTACTCAACTGGTGCAGCACCATTTGCAGAATGGGACTTTTGGTGGGCTCAGCAGGGCAGAGACAGCCTGGACAATTCCTATTGGCTTTTGAAAGCCAATAGAATTAGACTCTATTCAAGAGAGTCTATTCTATTGGCTTTCAAAAGCCAATAGAATAAAAGGGAATAGCACAGCTAAGGAAAAGGGGGAAAAATGGCAGACTGCGTTGTTTGGCGACCCCCGTGAAATGGTCATTTGACCCCAAATGGGGTCCCGACCCACAGGTTTATTTATTTATTTATTTATGAGACTTATATACCGCTTTAAGTGCAAGCACTCTCTAAGCGGTGTACACCAGTAAGCAATGTATATATATATTTACATTGCCCCCAACAATCTGGGTCCTCATTTTACCTACCCCGGAAGGATGGAAGGCTGAGTCAACCTTGAGCCGGTGAGATTTGAACCGCTGACCTGCTGAACACAGTCAGCTAAAGTGGCCTGCAGTACTGCACTCTAACTGCTGCGCCACCTCGGCTCTTAACAGACAAGATCACTCTTAACAACAAGACCACTCTCAACAGTGGTTGAGAACCACTGGCCTAGAGTCTGTCTGGATTGAGATGGAAAATAAATTGCATAAATAAATATAAACCATTAAGGGTTAAATATTTTATATATTATGACAATAATAAATTCTTTTAATGTATCTGTAATATATTTAAATACAATGTAATATTAATATCAATAACCTTTATCATGTAACTTAGATCAACAAGGAAGGTAAACCAATTGACGTCCACAATAAAAAGAAAATCATTACACTTGGAGTCACTTCTACCATTTACATGCAACCAGTCCCTAATACCCTGCTTCTGGCAAGCGCTATTGTTCCACCTGAAGAACATATTTTGAATTCCACATCCTTATTCCATCAGCACACTGAGGGGAATTTGGAACTTAAAAGGTGAGTCTTTCAATGTTATCACAATCATGTCCAGATGATAATGTTCCATATTGAAGTCATTCTAAGATAGTAACTTCTGAACTATCATCTTATCATCTAGCCTGCTAAGGACCTCCTTGCCCCTGATGTTCTTCCCCAAACTCTATCTTTCATAACCACATTGCTCAGTGCATGCAGTTCTTTCCTTTTACACAAAAACAACAACAAAGGTGATTTTGTTCTAGTCATGAGCCAGTACAAAATACCTACTTTTAATATACAATATAACTGAAAGAAATACACCAGTGCTTAATTCGAATTAATAATTCCTGAATCTATATTCAGAATTGGGTTAAATACCTGCCATTGGATTGATATAATATTGTTGCAGGGTTATAATGTGTTAACACAATACAAATTTGAATTGGATGGAATGATAATAGAGCAATTTCTCTTTATAGAAATTCAAGACCAATTATTTTATGAATTGTAAATCTTGTAAAATCTTGTTTCATGCCTTAGATTGCTCTGAAGAAAATTAACCTTTTCTCTATTCTTCTGTAATTACAGTATTTTTGCCTTTATGACCAAATAATAGGAGAGTGCAGAATTAATTAATTAATCCTGAACTCTAATCCAAACTCTCTTTAGCAACTGCAGACTTTTTAAATAAGGGAGATCCAAAGTAAAAAAATTATTAGGAATTCATATGCAATTTTCATAAAACAGTTATCTAAAATTTTGCACATACCTTTTTCAAAATACTGTATACCTTGTTAAAACTATACATTGAATGGAGTAAGAAGATAACCTTGTTATAGATAAATAGGATCTGCAGCTTAGGCAAAAGAATCTGAAGCTATATCTCCCTAATATACTGAATTATAAAGAGAAGGAAGAGATACAGAAACAACGAGAGTTGCAAGATTGGTGTTAGCTTCACTAACTAATGTTATATTAGATCAGCTAATCAACTATTAGGCTAAAAACACATTTATTGGGACTGAATATAATAATGGAATCTTGAAAGTCTAGGGTCTATAGTATTTGGTACTTTGTGGGCTTGGTGGCTTTTTTGAAAATCTTTCATTACTAAATTAGGTAATATCATCAGTGCTTAATTCTGAACTATTAAAATATTCTCTTATATCGGTGTTCTGTATTTCTTTCTCCTTGTTTCAGTGAATTAGGTAGCACCTGCCTGAGCTACTTCTGAATATTGTCTTGTTGAGGATTTAAAAATGTTTCAGCAAATTTTGTCTAAGCAACAGATTCTATATCTCTCCATTAGTTTACTCGCTAAAATACTGAAGCACAATATATTGATCTATATCAACACCCATCTATTAAAATATAAAGATGAATCAGCTGACCATAATTAACAAGGGAATCTGAAATGCCTTCCTACATGTGAACCTTTTAAATACTATCTTGAGGTACATGACATCTAAATGTAATTCAATGTTTCAAAACCATTTTGTATCACATAGGTTATTTCCTTTATCCTTGGTCAAGATCTCAATTCACAACGTGGAAAAGAAGCAGCTGCGACTTAAACTAGTCACAGGCCGCACGTACTACCTTCAGCTGTACCCTCCACCACATCAACAACTAGACCTTTTCAGTGCCTGGATCAAGCTTGTGCAAATATTACGTCCATCTTCAGAAATAAATTCCAAACAGCAGAAGTTGGAGAACAAAAAATTGAAGAACCCTGATGCACCTCTAGCTCCACCTCTGAAACCTAAAGTGAGATCCCCTTCAGTGATATTAATTTTGAAGTCCTGGGAATTATCTGGGAGCACAACAAAGAGAAAAGAATCTTTCATTTCCCTTACTTGAAATGAATGGACCCCTTACTTACAGATATATATTTAATTTCCAGAAAATGGATCTTTGTTTTGAAGCACATAACTTTCTGATACTATTGGAATCAATTAATTGCTCCAGGAATGTACCTGATTTGAGCAAAGATCTCAAGGCCATACAAATTTGCATTTCCACACAAGTCAACTGGTCTTCATTTTTTTCTCTCCCATCAAAAACTGTAACAAAATTTGAGGCAAGGCACTCACTTAATATGCAGAGTTACTTCCCATACTGCATGATTCTGTTTGCAAAAAAATTAAGTAGCAGAATAGATATAATGTACTCTAAAGTTTAGGAATTTTCTGACTGCATCATATCATTGTTTTCCACAAAACGCTGAACTAGATAGATCTTTGAGTTAGTCCAGCAGGATCAGTGGTGGAATTCAGATATGTGAACAACCAATTCTCTGTGTGGATGCCACTTCCAGAAGTCCATTCTGGGCCTGGGCAACAAAAAATTAGCTACCATGCGAACTGGCTGAATCCCACCATTGAGCAGGATGCTTCCTATGCTCTTAAGTGACAGTGATATTGTAGGCGAGAGATATACTGCTTTTATATATTGCTAGGAACAAGGGGGGAGGCTGAACTAAGTTCTCTGTCTAAGGCAAAGAACAATGCAGGTAGTCCCTGGTTAGTAATTGGCTTGTTTAACAGTCATTCACAGTTACAATAGTGATAAAAATGTAACTTTATGAGCAACACTCATATTTATGATCATTACAGATCTGTAAAGAAAATGGAATCACAACTGTGGTTTCACCCACTGACCATTTCACTTAATAAGTGTCGGTCCTGATTGTGGTCACTAAATGAACGCTATCTGTAATCTTCTTGTGGCAATAAGCTTTTTTTTGTTTCTTTCAGGAATCACATATTGATTAGCCAGTGATAGCATAGTGTCACCAGAGTCAAATTTTATGGTCTTCATTTAAAGGGATACAATATTATGGCATTTATTTTTCTCCCTAAACCCACTCAACTTAGAAATAAGCAACTCAAAATGGGGAGTAAACCTTCAATTCCTGCAAGGCTCAATACATTAATTGCATACTTTAACCTTCCTCAACTCCCAAAAACCAACAGAAAGGGTGTTGACCCTACTTGAAAAATACTGTGAGACTTCTGGGATCTGCAAAGACATAAAGTGACACAATGCTATCTCATTCAACAGCTGAGATAGAGGCAAAGGAGATTTTAAATCCATTTCCTCTGTGCTTGTATATACATATAGGAGTTGGCAGCTGAAATACATAAAGAGTCTTAATAGAAACTGCAATTCCTCCTGCTGGAGAATTAATTAAACCTTTACCTTAATCTCAGGTTAAAGTCATAGGCTGGGATGTTACAGATTAAATCTTGAATTGAGATACAACACAGAAAAATAGAGTTGGAAGGGATCCCAGAGATCTCTAGTTCAACCCTCTGCTTGAGCAGGAGATCCTATATCATTTCAGACAAATGGTTGTCCAGTCTCTTTTTGAAAGCCTTCTGTGATGGAGTACCCACAACTTCTTTGGGCAAGCTATGTCATTGGTTAATTACTCTCCCCGTTAGAAAATTTTTCCTTACTTATAAGTAGTAGTTTCCAACCATTATTTTTTGTCTTGCCTTTTGGTGCTGTGGAAAATAGTTTGGCCCCCTTGTCTTTGTAGGAGCCCTCAAACATTGGAATAGTCTTATCATGTCCCCCCCCCATTATTTTTTTCATTAGACTAGACATATCCAATTCCTGTAAACATTCTTCATACCTTTTAGCCTCCATCCCCCTAGTCATTTTTGTTGCTCTTCTCTGCACTTTATCCAGAGTCTCAACATCATTTTTGTATTGTGGTGACTAGAAATGGATGCAGTATTCCAAGTGTGGTCTTATTAAAACTTTGTAAAGCAGTATTAGAATCTCATGTGATCTTGATTCTATGACTTTATTAACGTAGCCTAGGATTATGTGGGCTTTTTTGGCTGCTGCTGCACATTGTTGGCTCATATTTAAGTAATTATCCCCTAGGACTCCAACAGCCCTGTCACAGTTACTGGCATTAGACTGGCATTGATCTAGTCAATATACTGGTATTCACTTAATCCAGGGGTGTCAAACTCGCAACATCACGTGATGTATCATGACTTTTTTTCCATTGCCGGCAATGGAATGGGCGTGATTTCAGCATGACACATCTGGCCCATGGGCTGGCAGTTTGACACCCCTGCCTTAGTCTACACCTATACAGTTGGTTTTTCTTACTTAAGTGTAGAACCTTACTTTTATCTACATTGAATTTTATTTTGTTAGATAGGGCCCAGTGTTCAAGTCTGTCAAGATCTTTTTGGATTTTGAACATGTCTTCTGGGGTGCTGCTATTCCTGCTAGCTTAGTGTTGTCTGCAAATTTGATGAGTTTCCCTTCAATTCCCTCATCTAAATCATTTATGAAGATATTGAAGAATATCAATATCTTAATTTAGTTTAGTTTAGTTTAGTTTAGTTTAGTTTAGTTTAGTTTAGTTTAGTTTAAATTATTTATTTTGAAAATTCATATTGCCGCCTACTGGCACATGGCAACTCAAGGCAGCTTACACAAATATAAAATCATCCTATAAAAGGAATAAAAAATAACAAGAAGAAAAATAATAAAATAATAAAATAATTACCCCACCCCAGCGACAACACACATTCATTTGTAATATCAATTTTTTATAGTTATCTTCTTTTATTGAGGAGCACCTTGTGGTAAGCCAGATTCCTAAATGTTTGATCTTTTTTACAATTTGCAATTCCAGGTTCCCTTCTAATTTCCTTTTCTGTTTTTTGGTTAAATTTTTGACTAACATTTTGGTCTTTTCTCTATTAATTTTTAATCCTGCCACTATTCCATAGTTTTCTATTTCTTTCATCAAAATCTTTCCTCTCTCTATTGGTTCCTCAATAAAAAAGACCAAGTCATCCGCAAATGCTTGTGTCTTATACTCTTCTGTCTTAACCAGTACCCCTTTAGCCATTTAATGGGCTCCATCTCACTCTGGGTTCCCCAGGCTCACTGGCAGAACCAGATCTTCAGTGCCTTACAAAAGACTGCTAGAGTGGGGGCAGTCTAATCGCTGAGAGGATGATGTTCCAGAGAGAGGGAACCACCACAGAGAGGGCCCTTCTTCTGGGTCCCACCAGATGCATCTCCTTAGGGGATGGGACCCACAATATTTCTTGCCTCCCCATTCTAGTAGTTCGGGTAGATGTGACCTGCAAGAGACAGTCCCTTAGATAACCTGGTCCCAAGCCATGACAACCAGCACCTTGAATTGCACATGAAAGTAAATCAGTAACCAATGCAACTCTCGCAGGAGAGGTGACACATGTGCACACCAAGGTCTGCCCAAAATCATGTGGGCTGCTGCATTTTGCATCAACTGGAGCTTCCAGGTGCTTTTCAGGGGCAGCCCCATGTAAAGCACATTGCAATAGTCAATACGGGAGATTACTAAGGCGTGAGTGATAATGAGTAAGGATTGTTGGTCCAGGAAAGGGTGTAAGTGATGCACAATCCACTGTTGCACAAAGGCTGTCCTGGCCAGGACTGCCACCTGCTCTTCAAGCAGGAGCCACAAGTCCAGGACTACCCCCAGATTACTCACAGGATATATCTGAGGCAGTGCCACCCCATCCAAGACCAAAGGTGGCAATTCTCCATAGGCCAAAGAACCCCAAACCCAGAGCCACTTGGTCTTGCCAGGATTCGGTTTCAACCAGTTTTTCCCCATCCAGCCCCTAACAGGCTTCAGGAACTGTGAGAGGGAGGTAATGGCATCACTTAACTCGCCACAGCTAAGTATCATCAGTATATAGATCATATCTCAGTCCATGGTGACAGATTATCTCACCCAATGTAAATGTTAAATAGGAGAGGAGAGAGTACTGAGCCCTGCAGGAGCCGCAAAGCATTGGGCAAGAGCTGAATCTCTCACCTCCTTTAACACCAACTGAGAACAGCCTTAGAGGAAGGAAGTGAACCAGGATAGCACAAGACTCCCCACTCCCAACCTCCAAAGCTGCTCCAGAAGGATACCATGATTGATGGTATCGAAACCCATTGAGAGGTCAAGTAGAGCAAGGATGGATGCACTACCCCATTCCACTCCCAGCAGACATCATCAAAAGCACAACCAATGCTATTTCTGGCCCATATCCAGGCTTGAATCCTGAATCGTAGGGGATCTAGATAATCTGTTCCATCCAGAAACCTACGGAGCTGCCGTACAACCACTTTCTCAACAACCTTCCCCAAAAGGGAAGATAGGTCAGAAATTATCTAATAGGATGGAATCCAGTGATGGCATCTTGAGAAGAGGGAGGACCACAGTCTACTTAAAGTGTTGGGGCATTACCCCATCCTGTAGAGAAGCATTAATCACTGTCAGAGTCAACCCACCTGTCACCTCCCAGAAAGCTTTCACTAGCCAGGAGGGACATGGATCTAAAATACAGGTGCTTGTGCGCACACTCCCAAGAATCCTGTCCACTTTCTCAGGAGCAACACTTTAACCTTCCTCAACTCCCCCAAACCAGCAGAAATGGTGTTGACCCTAGTTGAAAAATACTGTGAGATTTCTGAAGGCATAATGACATAACATGACACAATAGTATCTCATTCAACACCTGAAACAGAGACAAAGGACATTTTAGATCCATTCCCTTTATGCTTGTATATAGTATTCAACAGTTGGCAGCTGAAATTCCATAAAGAGTCAGTATACTGGGATGTTAAGTCTCAAACTTACAAATTGTCTACTCCAGTTTACAGAATTATAGCAAATGGAAATTAAAATTCAATCTCCAAATATTCCTCTCCTCAGGACCCACCTCCTCAGAGAGAATCTCAATATGCACCTGAAAAAAGGACAAAGAAAAAGAATAAAAAGAATCCCACTACTCGAGCAAAGGAAACAAAAAAAGAAAATGATCCAACTGCTTTATTTTCTAAGAGCTCCTCTACTCTTGCAATCAAACCAACACATCTCAAAATAGAGAATGTTCATGAGGCCTTCTGTCATACAACCCCAGAGGAGCAGAACATTGCAAAAAAGTTAAAAGGGGAGAAAATAAAGGATCCTGGTCCTGCTGATGAAAAGGATAACTTGCATATTAACAGGTATGTGAAAATTAAACAGAGGTAGTGGGTTATATTATTATATTAATCTATCTCCCTCCTCAGAGCCTTTCAGCTCTACCCATTCTATGGGGCTATGGGGCCACAATAGAATTAGGACTTAATATTGCAGGTGCGCTAGTTTCCTCCTTAAATGGGGAAGGCTCTTCGAAATATAGCTGTGGTGCTCCAGAGCAGACAGGTAGACAGTCAGAGAGACACGTACTGTGAAACAGTGGCCTCTGAATGCATATCAGGGAAATCCCGGAGACAGTCTATAGGCAACTTCACCGTGTATCGACTACAGGCAGTCCTTGACTTACAATCACAACTGAGCCCAAAATTTCTGTTGTTAAATAAGACATTTGTTCAATGAATCTTGCCCCATTTTACGATGTTTCTTGTCACTGCAGTTGATAAGTTAGAAACACGGTTGTTAAGTGAATCTGGCTGCCCCATTAACTTTGCTTGTGAGAAGGTCATAAAAGAAGATCACATGATCTGGGAACACTGCAGCCATCATAAATATGAGTCCGTTGCCAAGCATCTGAACTTTGATCATGTGATCATGGGGATGCTGCAAAGGTCATAACTGTGAAAATCAGTTATAAGTCACATTTTTCAATGCCATTGTAAATTTGAACAGTCACTAAATGAACTGTTGTAAGTTGAGAACTATCTCTATGTAAATAGTCAACTTTTGAATTTGTAACTAAATTTGTAAATAGTTTCATATTTGGCATTGAGAATGTAATTGTGATGTGCTTTTTAACATTTTCGCCATATACTAACTAAATAAAACTTAAATGCAAACCTTGAACACATTTTAACCAAATTCAAATGAAATTCAAATATAGTGATGTCTCTTAGGAATTGTGCAACACTGACTCCAAACTTCTTGAGTCAGAAAAACAGATATATGGCATTTCATATGTGATAAAATTATACATTAGTCTTAATTTAAAAATGTGTGTGATCAGATCTCATAATATTTACACAAACTTATTCATATAATATTTTGAGACTGGTCACCAAACTCCATTTATTGGCTGCTGGTAATAGGATGCTAAGTTCCATTTGTGCATGGTTCCTGACTCTAACAAATGTTCTTCTAAAGGGGTAGGTAAGATTTTTGCCATGGCTGCAATATTGACAATTCCACAGGCAATCTTAATATTCCCAGCCTACTGAAGGAGAATGAAATCTCTTTTTTAATGTATACTTTTTATTAAAACTTTTAATAGGGAAGGAAAAAAAAGAATTAAAGTAAAAAAAGTGCAAGAAAAGAAAAATAGAAAAAAATTAAAAAGTTAAATAAGTGAATTCCTATATCCTTCACAGCAGTACTAAGTATAAATATATTTTAATCTCTCTAAAGTTACATTATATTACTAATCAAACCTGTCTAACCATCAAAATTGTAAGTCACATGTTCATTTTTTTCATTTTTATGCAAAAGGTTCATAAGAGACTTCCAGTCTTTTCTCTAATCAAACAAGCTAATTTATCTATTTCAGAAAATCTGTCTGCTTCACAACCATTCTTCCATAGTGGGAGATCTTTCCATCTCCATGCATACAAGTAATCTTGTTACTGTGATCAGATTTTGAAATTCCATTGCTGTTTATCCATTAATCCTAAAAAAAAAATTCTTCAATTGAATACTGATATTTGAATCTTCTGTATCAAAGTAAGGATTTGGATCCAAACCTTTTTTTAGCTTTTTTATATATCCATCAAGCATGATAAATGTCCTGTCATATTTTCACATTTCCAAGTGCCTTCTAGATAATTTCTACAGCATAATGTAACAATCATACATCATTTTATAAAACCAAATTTTATCCCAGTTTATCATACATTTTTTATCCTTTTCTTCCTCTATTTCAAATGTCAACCAAGGTTTGTACATTTTAGCAATTACATGATCATTATGAGTTCATAGTTGTATTTCAAATTCTGACTTACTTTGCTCCATACTGTAAGTCTTTTTATCTGTTTTTAATCTTTCAAATAACTGTAAAGGGAAGAAACATTGACAACTATATTATTCTGCTATTAATTGTTCTCTTGATTTGATTTTAAATTTCCCTTGGTAATTTTCCAAAAGATCCTGTTACCACAAACATTTATCTTTATCTGTTGTTCTCTTCTGTAATACAGTTCTTGAGCTGAGATTCATAAAGGTGTTTTTGGTCACGAACTGGGCTTATATTTATTCCACATTCTAAATAATAAAATGACTTTTAAAGTCCATATTAACTTTATCATACCATAAATATCCATGTGGTCCAAGCCTCAGGTTGTGATCTTTTAACTATAAAAATTGCCTATTTTTCAGAAACATCTATTCTATAAAACAGTTACCCAACCCCTGGTCCATGCACCGGCATCAATCTGCAGCATGCCAGCAATCAGAGCACTCAAACAAGCAAAGTCCCATCATGGGATGCAGGTAGCACATGAAACCATGCCCCCTCCAGTTTGTGGAAAAACCTTTCTCCATGGAACCAGTCCCTGGTGCCCAAAAATTTGGGAGCCGCTGCTATAAAATACTGAGCAACAAAATACAATTTTAAATACAGTAAACCCAATCTTCCTCTTTGTTTTTGCATCTTCTAACACTAAATCTTGTTTCTTTCTCTTGCCATATGAAATTAGATGTATCTAATTCTAACTCCATTCATTTTTAAATAGATCTATTGTAAAATATGTTGTAAAATATAGTTTTGTTATTATTTGGGGCGTAGCCCCCCACTAGCGTAATCCTGGTTTCATTCTCAATTAATCTCAGCCTCATATGTGTCTTTGTTATCAGATAGTATCATTTTGATTGCAAAAATTCTTTTCCCAAATTTTTCTAAATTCATTCATTACAGTATGTTTCCTCTAGACAAATTACATCCAATTTTAATTTTCTCAGGTATCTTTTTTCTTTTGGGGGCTATTTTTCCCACTTATATTCCCCATTAAACATTTAAATTCCATGCTTATTTTATAAACTTTGAAAAGTCTATTTCATATCACCCAATATAGAAGTGTCTTTCTCAGATATTTGCAGTGTTAACTCCAGAGTTCCTTCCATTTTATTTCAATTTCCTAAGCCATACAATCCAACTACATTTTTGTCGTCAATATTTCCAATGCTGGTATTCCGTTATCCAATCACAAGCAACATATCTGAGTTGCATATTTTGTCAATTTCAAATTGAACTTAATCATAAAATTTACAAGTCGCCTCCTTCTCTTCTGCATCTGTGATTAGAGAATAAACTGGGATAATGGTCATAGTTAAGGTTGCTCCACAAAATCTTACTGACTTCATTGTAGCCAAGTATCAGTCGTGCTATACCCTTCCTAGCAATGCCAATCCCCTTTTTACTTTTTCATGTCGTGAGTAGTAATATAATGTCATGACTCTGGGAAAAATTCCATTGCACTGAAGAGCTGGCATTTCTTGGCAAAAGCCTAATAATTTAAAGGCATATTTCCTGGCTTTAAATCTGTTTCAGTTTCAATATACTTAGTAGTCCTTGATTTACAACCACTATTGAGAGCAAAATTTCTGTTGCTAAGTGAGACAGTTATTAAATGTGTCACAATCTTTTACAACCTTTCTTGCCATGGCAGTTAATCACAGTAGTTGTTAAGTTAGTAATCTGGTTGTTAAATTAGTAACATGGTTGTTAAGTAAATCTGGTTTCCCCATTGACTTTGCTTGTCTAAAGGTCACAAAAAGTGATCACATGACCCCGGGACACTGCAAGCATCATAAATATATGCCATTTGCCAAGCAGCCAAATTTTGATCATGTGACCATGGGGATGCTTCAATGGTCGTAAATGTGAAAAATGTTCACAAGTCACTTTTTACAGTGCCGTCATAACTTTGAACGGTCATGAAATAAGCTGTCAAGAACTGCTTGTAACTGCGATACAAAGAGAAACCCTTAAGATGTCATTTACTTTACTTTACTTTGTACTTAACATTCACATATGAAAGAACTAATAAGAGAAGCTTAACTATTCCAGTGATTTTTATTTAGTGCACTATATTTTACTTTTTACTGCAATAGTGCAGATGGTTGTCAATTTTATTTTCCATTTTCTCTTTTATATAGTTTGTAATTTAAACTAGAATGGGGGAGAGGGTGTTCCATATCTTGAAGAGTGTTGTCCTGAAATTATAACTATATATAATTACATTAGAATCAATCCTATTTAAGCATCTGTTAAATGGGGAACAAGTTGTCTTGAGGAATGTTACAAACAGCAAATTTGTTTACTTATTAGCCAGAGAAAAGAGGAAAACCGCTTATGGTATTTAGTAATAAATTTCTAATATTGCGCGATTATTTTTCTTTCAGAAAATCAGATAGGAAGATTCACTCCAGTCAAAGCAGGTCTGGACACAGAGGTAAGAGATTATTAATGTGTTATTTTTTGTACAAAGAAAATAAACCATTTTTACTCTTAATCATTCCTGACTCTACATATAGACATTGCCTGGGCAACAATCATATACAAGCAATCAAAGCTAAATTATATTTCTTTGAGAAAAACCTTGTGATAAATTCTGCTTTTATGACCATATTATACAGATGCTTTATCAAGTTCACTGAATCACTATTCAATTTTAATCTATAAATACTTTAATCTATTTGCATGTTGTGATCATGTGATTACTTGCGTACCCCATTTGTTTCTGGAAATTTTACTTTATTACATATCAATTCATGCTTTTATTCATATCAAACTAAACACCCTCTAAAGATTTGAACTTTAAAATGTAGGCTAAAATTTTCTCATAAATACAATATTAAAAATTCAAATGTTTGCCCAAAAAAAATCCTCTCAATCAACTTCAAACTTTGAAAACTTGCTTGAAATTTTCCTTGTTTTGACATTATGTTTAGCTCTTGTACAAGATGCAGCTCTGGTTGGTCACATTATATCAGAAACTGTTCCAGTATAACTCTGATTTAAAGAGGACTGTGTTTGTGCAAGAAGAAAATGATGCATTGCATCCTCTGTTTCTACTTTTCACTGGATCCTTACAACCTTCAAACTAGCCACTTCACTAAAACAAGAAACAAAACTGACACTTCTCTCTTGAAACAGCAAAATTAAAGCTGAACTCTGAACCTAATGCAGCTTCAGTCTGCAACCATTGTACAGCAAATGGTGCTGTACAATGGCAGCAAAAAAGAATATAACAGAATGTCTAACTACTATCTTCACAGTCATTAATCAAACAGGTCACACAGTATCCACTGGTCCACAGGTCGGCAACCTGTGGCTCCAGAGTCGCATGTGGCTCTTTGAACCTTCCCCTGTGGCTCCCAGCCTCCTCTGCCATTTGCAGGCAGAAACAGAGACAGAGAGAGGCACTTGTGCTTCCCTGCTTCTGTCTCTGTCTCTGTCTCTGTCTCTGTTTCTCTCTCTCTCTCTCTCTCTCTCTCTCTCTCTCTCTCTCTCTCTCTCTCTCTCTCTCTCTCTGTGTGTGTGTGTGTGTAAAAGAGAATGGATTCACGTTGTTCTCCGACAAGCTGAAAAGCTTTTTGGGGCGGGGCTCCTCCCTTTGCTGCATCTCTGCAGGAAGCAGGAAGGGCAGGAAAGAGCTAGCTAGCCCAGCTATGCTGACTCAGGAATTCTGGGAGTTGAAGTCCATGAGTCATAAAAGAGCCGAGGTTGCCTACCCTGAGCTTGTTGGAGAACAGCTTGAAGCCAGCTTGCCAGGTGAGCAGAAGATCAGAGAGAGAGAGGGAGGGAGAGAGGGAGGGAGGGAGGGAGGGAGGGACAGAGAGAGAGAGAGGGAGGGAGGACTGGCAGACCAAGGGCAGAAAGAGAGAGAGGGAGGGAGGGAGGGAGAGACAGAGAGAGACAGACCCTTTTGACATCTAAAATGAAGATAACACTGCATATATCCTTTTTTACCTTTATGATATATATATATATATATATATATATATATGTGTGTGTGTGTGTGTGTGTGTGTGTGTGTGTGTGTGTGTGTGTGTAGGTCTTTGGTTGTTCGGGTTTTCTCCCGCGTAAAATTGGAAGTGTCTTGGCGACGTTTCGACGAAGTCCCATTCGTCATCTTCAGGCTGGTGTTTTCAGCTTCGTGCTGAAATGCAAATAAACAATCTTGCAAAGTACTGTACTTACAAACACAATAAAAAGCAGAGCAGTTCCCAAAGTGATTATAAGCAATACAGTACAGTACTATACAGCAACAAAAAAGAATATTTTATAATACTTACAGAAGTAATTCTAGCTCTCTACAGAACTGTAGTCCTGAAGCCCAGCAAGCAGCAGATCTTCCACGCAGCTCCAGGAAAACAGAAACAAATGGTCATGCCTGCTGCAAAAATCACTGGATCTTGCTTGGCCATGTGACCAGGCACAAAAAACGCCCCCCACTTCTGGCTTCTCGTAGGCCCAAACTGGCCCAGGCAAGTCATAGAGTTAAAATGGCCACCACAGCAGCCAAGACTGAATCCAAGTCACATGGCTACAGAAGCCTATTTTTGGCCGCAATTTTGAATTTCTGATGTAAGTAGAATAACCTTGTTTTTGTGAAATCTCACTGAATAAATGCTCGTATCTGAGGGATTAACTCTACTGAGTGGGTGTTGACTGAGAAATTGATATTTCAGGATGGTACCAACATAACCTTTAAATGTTCCTTCTTTATTAATAATTTAATGAAGTATTCTTTTTTAAAAAAGGAAGTGCAAGCAATAAAAAAGCTGGTTCCTGCATTTAAGAAAGAGCATTGTATAACTAGAAAAGACTGAAATAAGAAAAAGCAACTACAATGACTAGTGTATTGAAACAGCTCTCCTATGAGGAAAGGCTAAGTCTAAACTATTTGATCCTGTTTAACTTAAAATGAAGAAGAATAAGAGGGCACATGATATGATTTTATACATGGCATATATAATCCAGATATAAAGAATGTATTTCCTTGTTTCACCATGATTAAACTCCAATTACCCATTGAAAATAAATATAGGAAGTCTCAAGACAAATAGAAATACTTTTTTCTATTAAATATAATGGAATTTTTCTTTTGACCAGTTTGACCAAAACCAATTTGGATGGTTTTAAAAGGACATTTCATGAAAAATGTCTAATAGCTATTAATAGCTGTTTATTACCTCCCAAATCATAAACAGAATACTATATACTAGTTGCGGGGAAAATAACAATGGAATATTACTACTGTATCATCCTCCTATTCAGGTTTTTAGATTCTCAAATTCATGCAGTAGCCCACTACATGATATAGAATGCTAGACAAGATAGCCCTGATCCAAACAGGCTTTTTTATGTTTTTCTTATTTTTCTTATTTTTTTAAGATATAACTATGGCTTCCAATTGTTGCTGGATGTAACAGGGCACATTCAATGCACACATGCATGGAAAGTAATGGACTAGACATGCTCCCTTGAGAAGATCTTTAAATTTCTCCCCAAAATTACTCTTGCATCCTTCTGTGCTCTTACGAACAGCCTATTCAGTGGGCTCCTAGCATCCATTTTATTCAAAGAAAGTCTTGTCTGCACCAGTTTCTCCAGGAAAAAGTGACAAACCCCCCATTTCCTTCCTTTTCAATTACTTAATACAGCAGAAAAATACATGAGCTAAATTTAAAATCATTTCAGAATAAGTGCTGATTTTGTAAAAAATTCAAACCTGTATTATGTATTTTGAGACTCAGGATCTAAACAAGTTTGAAAGTCACAAGGAAAAGGAGAAATAAAGGAAAATGACAAATGATATCTACAAGGCTTATCTAAGTGGCTTGTCTTACAGCTGGAAATACAATAGAGAGAGAAATAGAAAGAGAGAAGAACATACGTACCAGCAGAACAAAATAAAAACAAAATAACCAAGACTGAAATCATTTTCAAAGTAAAATTGAAAGTCCAATTTCTACTAAATGATAGATTGCTATGTTTCCTGGATATCCAATCCAATCCAATCCAAGATATTATGGCCTTGTTGTCCTAGTTCTAAAGTGGCCAGGATGCCATGTCCCATTCATCCTGTGACAGAAATGGTAATAAAATAATAATAATAATAAAAAACTGTTTCTTAAAAAAAATCTCACCTGAGAGAGGATATCTTCCTATTCCTTACTGGGAAGGAGTTGGAAGATATCATATTTAACATTTGATTTTTTTAATTTAGACTGTCTTTGCCCACTATCTAGAATGGACAGATCAGATTTGATTAACAGATCAGATTTAAGTTTAAGTTTTCACATTTGACTTCCATGCAGATAGGATTTCTTCCCATTCACTATACTCAAATGCAATTCCTGGCAATCTGTGCTCAGAGCAGCTGGCAGAAATGATACATTCAATGCAAAAAAGTATGTGAAATGCTGGACTAGAAATGTCTTGGTTTCAGCCTTGTGTTCTTAAAGGAAGATCAGATCAAAAATATTATTACTGCAGTGCCAGGTTGTTTTTTTAAAAAGAGTTTTTTTAAAGCACTTGAAGAAGAAAAATGTCAGATCATTACTAAAGCTCCAGATTCCAGGAAAAATTTATTTGTCCATCATATAAATGCTATGCTCTGTACCACAACAGTATGTCCCATATGTCTGAAATTAATGGTTGGAAGACTTTGAAAGTTATACGGCTCCATGAAAACTGAATCGCCCCTCCCCATTCTCATGAATTTTCCATTCTGGTTCTATAACAGTCTTGACTCATACATTCTACCATTTATATAGTAGCTAAGATCCATAATATTTTAGAGTCAAAGATCAAAAATTACAATAGTATCACTCAGAATGAAAATAATGAAAATACAACTTCCTTGTTGTTGTTTTTTTATCTCTCACACATTCCCTTCATGACTTTCCTCTCTTTCTGTGCTGAGATCAGGCCTTTTATCTTTCCTTTCCATTGTGAACAGGCTCAGCTGGAGTTCTGCCTAAGGTCTATTATTGTATGTGCCACACAAACTGGGACAGGCATTAGATGGCTCCCAAGGGACTTGACATTTTTTTTTATCTCTTTGCTGCCATCAAATGATTATCTGCATTTTTAAAGTGAAGATATGGTAGTATCTTTGTTGCCAACACTAAACTAATCTGAATATTTTAAGATTCATCTTCTCCACGTAGGTTTAAAAATGAGATATTTTTATTCTCAATTCTTCTGGAAAAAGATCTCTTAAAGAAACTGGAAAGAAGCTTTTCAACAGTAGATTCTACTTTTCATCCCCCAAATGTGCCTTAGTTTCACAGCTTTAAAGTTAATGTAAAAACATTTATCTATAAAAAGCTTTTATTAGCATCTGGCTTTGAAGTATAATTTCAATGGCTTCTAACAGGTTGCCCCCTGAAATTTTCATGTCTTGTCAGCTCATATACAATATTTTTAACTTTTTAAAATTTAAAATGTTAATTTTCTTATTTAAAGGACGTGGATCTTAGAGTTTCTGGTGGTAAGATAACTCAAATATGGTTTAGCACTATCCCTCATTTCCTCTATTTATTCTTCACCTTACAAGACAGAACAATAGTTTACAGGCAGAACACACATGATTTACATGCAAAGTCCCCAGGTTTAATTCCTAGCAGCACCTCCTAAAGCACTGAAGAATAACCTTTTTCCTTTAAGAGTATATGGTTCTCTTGCTAAAATCTGGTAGCATCCACAATCTATCACTGGGCATATCCAGAGTCAACCATGGACATAGCTTATGCACAAAATGGGTTACTCTCTTTCTAAAACTAGACTGAAGTCTGCATGTCTGGATACAGTTTCTGCTTTCTTGTTCTAATGTGGATAAACAAGTAATGACACAAAGAGAATTTCTGTAAAAAATTGGGGAAAAACTAATGCTGAGCTAAGCAGAGCAGTTATTTTATATCCCTCAGATTCTATTCCTACAAAATGGAAGAAAAACTGCATTGTACAAAATAGTCTCTGTAGTACAGTTATGGGTCCGCATGCTGCACAAGCACAAAAATTTTACAAGCTATGTTTAAGCTAATCATTATTATGTGAAAATACCCAGCAGGATTACTCCCAGAATTATTTTCACTTCTTTTACATATAATCCCTCCACCCATATATCTCTGTATGTCCCACAAGATGAAAATCCAGTTATAAAGATGTTTGCATCAAGCAATACATAGCATTAGAAAAATCTAAAGAACTATCATCTTTATGCTAAGAATGCTGCCACAGCCCTATTCAATTACTGTATCCCTCATCCTCATCCTCCAATGGCTGGACTTAACTTTGGTTTTGGTTTTCTTTAGGTGCTGCCCGAAAGCCAAGCAGGATTGCATCTCTCTTTATAGGCTGCTTCGGGAGTTCCCAGAGAAAGAACAAAGGAAGCAACAAAGCTCAGAACAAAGGAAAAAAAATACTAGGCAGAGTAAAATAAGGAGCCTGGATACAACAAGAAAGGAGCTTTTTATAATGGAGCTCCATTATAATATAGTTGACCAATTATAAACTTCATCTTCCGAATTCAAGAATCTTTGTCATGTAGCAAGCAAAGAACTAGAATTCATACATTCAGTGACCACTCACTGCTCAGAATATCCTTTGTCTTTCATAAAAGCAAGAAATATTATGTTATTCTGTTAAATTTCATAAATTTAATATTAAAAAAATATTAAAAAAAATATTCTCATATTTGAAAACTACATGCAAAGGCCAGATAGCCTTACATGATGATAAAAAAATCAGGATTTTTTATATATGCGCATGGCATGAATTGGGAGTGGATGGTAAGGATTTATATTAATTTACCAGGTATGAAATGGGGAGGATTATCCTTTGTGCTAAACTCCAAGACCTAAGAAGTTGGGGGGGGGGCAGGGTGTGATTAAATGATCTCCTTTGCTCCCTTATTTCAGTGTTTCAAGGTTGGCAGAAATGAGGCTCCTAACTTTGAGGAGTTGGGGAATAGGAGAGGGTAGGGGGATCTCTAAGTATGAGAAATCTTTTTCAATTCAACTTAGCAACAGACAAAACTATTTTGTTTACTGGATTTATTTATTAAATTTATTTATTTCACCTTTATTATGCCTTTATTATGTTCAAAGAAGTGAACATCCATAATATTCCTTCCTCCTATTTTCTCAAGAACAAGAATCCCTTGAGGTAGTTTGAACTGAGAGAGAATAAGTAGCCTAAGGTCACAGCCTGCGACTTTCTTGTCTAAAGCAGAGTTAGAAGGTAACAGCCTCCTGGTTTCTAGGCCAGCACCTTAACCACTACACCAGGGGTAGTCAACCTTGGCTCTATTATGATCGTGGACTTCAACTCCCAGAATTTCTGAGCCAGCCATGCTGGCTCAGAAATTCTGGGAGTTGAAGTCCACGAGTCATAAAAGAGCCAAGATTGACTACCCCTGCACTACACCAAACTACTGTAATTTTTTTCTCAGCCTTCTGACCAAGAGTGGGCAACATTTCCCAATACCACTTTTGTAGTGCCCAGATTAGTTCCCAAAAGATATGGCTCAGGAATGGTGATCATTCAGTAGAAATTGTCAATGATACAAAATAACAAATTATAACACCATGACATGGTCTTTTGCATGACAATACACATTTTATCTTTACCTCTTCTGAGGATGCCCATGTTAAGAAACAAAATAACAATTTGAACTAGTTAGTTTATTTTGTTATTTACCTATATTTTGCAATTTGGTCACAGAGGAAAAATTGTTCTCAAGGTGGCAACATTGTTTCTAATTAATATAATCTCATTATCAGGGCATATTTCTGGATTTTGAATGAAGGCAAGATTGATTCCATAACAACAAACGTTGCTACCATTCATACATTTAGAGTACACACATTATTTTCAACTGTTCTTTGATTTCATAATTACCTTAAAACTTCCTGTAAGTAGTAATTGTAATAACAGAAATCCTGTAGACACATTTACACTGTTCTTAGAGAAAGAAGGCTTTTTTTCAAATTACCCAAATTCTATTGATTTTAATAGTTATTCATCATTAAATCTAGATCAAGCCTACTGCAATAAACCAGCAGATATGAAAAGTTATCATGAGAAATGAACCTTTGTCAATACTGGATTGGACATCCATTTGTCTTGGACAATATAAGGACTCCTGCCTTGGGCAGGCAGTTGGTTTAGATGACCTCCAAGATCCCTTCCAGTCTTAGAATTCTATAGGCACACACCATTTGCAACAGGGCAGTATAAAGCAATAAAGGAGGTGCTTTGCAAAAAAAAAAAAAAAACCCCCACTAACACAGCATTAAATACCTATCTTTAAAGGACTGAATTGCTGCACTACTGGTTCAAAAATTTTCCCTGGTTGCCAGTCTGTGGTCCAATATGTGCATACACAATATTTATTCTCGGAGCAGCAGTGGGAAAAATAGCAGGACACAATTGGGATCAGTTTTCAAAGCAGATGCACAAGCCTTGCAAAGAATGGAAATGATTTCATGCTTCAGTGGAGTGTGCTCTGTTCTTTCTAACAGTTTTGTGAACCACATCTTTCAAATCTTTTGCACAGCCCTAATCTCCAAACACTTTCATTTCTGGCATATTTCTTCTATAAGCTCTTCAGATATTTGCTGGTCTTTTCCTACCATCTAGTGGACAAATGCTGTAAGACAAATCAATTTCTTTTTAATAGGACATTTGAGTTATGTAATTTACTTCCAGCGAACATGACTTTAGAATAAATTGGCCCATTTTAAGAAATGGCTAAACAATGGGTATTCTAAATTAATTCTGAACAAAACATAAGACCTGAACAGGAACAGCTGGATGTTTCTAAATAATGTTAAATAGAAAGTATTGGGAAAGGGGAATTACTGTAAAAAAAAAAAAATACGGCTAATGAATTCACCTAAGATTTTAAAATTTAGAGAGGATTTTTTCCCCAGCTATTATTTCCTTTTCTGTAAACCAATTTACACAAATGTAACTTGAAACATTAGCTAGTCTGCACCAAATAAGAATTGGCCAGCTAAAATTAGAATGTTAAAAGAAAAGAAAAAAAAACCGTCCATGAACCAACAGACAAATTCCATTGAGCCCAATACCAGCACTGAATGGCTTATTAAATACCTGGCTCAGCTAGCATGTTGGAGCCCATTGCCTTCTATTCCTACTTACAATTTGAAGTTTTTACATTTTTTTCATCGCTGTGTGTTATTTTGTCTCATTAATGTAGTCTTAAGAAAATCCCAAATTTCCTCCACTACCAAAAACATAACTATAAAGACTGACTAGGAATACAAATTAAAATAGTCAAGAAAATGGTAAGAGAACATCTGTCCACTGTAGACGAATTCAAATCACCAGCATCTGATGGGTTACATCCACAATTCTGAAGGAACTGGCATATGTGAACTCGGAACCATTATATTATATCTTTCAAAGATCCTGGATAAACGGAGAATGACCAGAAGACTGGAAAAGAGGTGATGTGGTTCCCATCGGAATAACAGAATAATAAAGTTGGAAGGGGCCTTCGGAGGCCTTCTAGTCCAATCCCCTGTTCAGGCAGGAAATTCTACATTATTTAGTTGGTATTCATGAATGCACTCTGCTAATCTTCTGCCTGTTTGTCCTACATTGTGGCTATTACAATCCTTACACTGTATAATAATAATAATAATAATAATAATAATAATAATAGTAGTAGTAGTAGTAGTAGTAGTAGTAGTAGTAGTAGTAGTAGTAGTAGTTGGAAGGGACCTTGGAGGTCATCTAGTCCAGCTCCCTTCTCAGGCAGGAAACCCTATACCATTTTGGTCTTCTTAAAAATTTCCAGTGTTGCAGCACCCACAACTTCTGGAGGCAAGTCGTTCACTAATTAATTGTTCTAACTGTCAGGAAATTTCTCCTTAACTCTAGGTTTGTTCTCTCCTTGATTAATTTCCATCCATTGCCTCTTGTTCTACCTTCCGATTCTTTGGAGAATAGGTTGGCCACCTTTTCTTTGTGGCAGCCCCTTAGATATTGGAACACTGCTATGATGTCACCTCCAGTCCTTCTTTTCATTAAATTAGACATACGCAATTCCAGCAACCATTTGTTATATGTTTTAGTCTCCAGTCCCCTAATCATCTTTGTTGCTCTTCTCTGTATTCTCTCTCGAGTCTCAACTTTTTTTTACATTGTGGGTGATCAAAACTGGATGCAGTATTGCAAGTGTGGCCTTACCAAAGCATTATTAAGTGGTATTAAAACTTCATGTGATCTTGATTCTATCCATCTGTTAATGTACTGTAGCCTAAGACTGTATTGGCTTTTTTTTGGCTGTTGCAGCACACTGCTGGCTCATATTTAAGTGATTGTCCACTAGCGCTCACAGTTACTACTATTAAGCCAGGTGTCACCTATTCTATACCTGTGCTTTTGGTTTTTCTTGCCCAAATTCTCCATTGAATTTCATTTTCTCAGATAGACTTCAAATCTGTCGAGATCCATCTGGATTTTGAACCTATCTTCTGGAGTGCTGACTATTTCTACCAGCTTGCTGTTGTCCAAAAAATTGATGAGTTCCCCATCTATCCCCTTATCTAAATCATTGATGAAGATATTGAAGACAGACCCTTGGGATACTATCCTCCTTGTAGATGTAGTTCTATTGAGGACCACATGCTGAGTGCAGTTGGTCAGCCAGTTATGAATCCATCTGGTGGTGATGCTACCTAACCCACATTTTTCTATCTTATCAAGTAGGAGGTTGTTGTCTACTTTATCAAATGCCTTATTGAAGTCCAAATAAATTATATCCACAACATTTCTCTGGTCCAATAATTTTGTCACTTTGTCAAAGAATGCAATAAAGTTTGTCTACCATGATCTGGTTTTGACAAACCTATGTTGACTTTTGGTAATGACTTTGTTTTCCTCTAGGTGTTTGCTGATTCATTGCTTGATTATCTTTTCCAGAATCTTCCCAGGTATTGAGGTCAGGCTGATAGGTCTGTAGTTTCCTGGATCCATTCCCCCCCCCCTTTTTTTTTTTTTTTTTTTTTTTTAAATGGGAACTGCATCAGCTCTTTTCCAGTCCTCTGGTAGTTTCCCAGTGCTCCAGGATCTTTGAAAAACATAGTTCAGTGGTTCTGAGATCACATCTGCCAGTTTTTTGAGAACCTTGGAGTGTAATCCATCTGGTCCTGGTGATTTGAACTTGTCTAGGGTGGACAGGTCCTCACCATTTTCTTACCTTTCTTAACTTGTATTTCTAATCTGTTTTTTACGATACTGTTTTTAGTAGATTGGACTGTTTTTTCGTTTAGTGTAAAGACAGATGCAAAAAAACAGTTAAGCAGTTCTGATTTCTCCCTGTTGCTCATCACCTTCTTGCCATCTTCTCCCATTAAAGAACCAATCATTTCCTTGACTTTTTCCTTGTTTTTTACATGCTGAAAGAAACTTTATTTTGTTATTTTTGACTTTTGTCGGAAGCCTTCATTCATTTTTAACCTTAGCTTTCTTGACTTCATATTTGCAGGTTCAGGCTATTTGCTAATAGTTATGTGCTCCTCTTTCCACTTTTTATACTTGTCCTTTTTGTCTTTCAATTTATTAGAGAATTTGTTATGCAACCACA